ACAATGAGGACAGGAAAGGCCATATCAAAAAGAGGTAGAGAGGAGATGGGAGTGGCGGGAGCAAGAGGAGCAGAAGCAGAATGGAGGGGAGGGAGCAAGAGCAGCAGAAGGGAGGGGAGGAAGCAAGAGCAGCAGGAGGGAGGGAGGGAGGGAGCAAGAGCAGCAGGAGGGAGGGGAGGAAGCAAGAGCAGCAGGAGGAGGGGAGGAAGCAAGAGCAGCAGGAGGGAGGGAGGAAGGAAGAGCAGCAGGAGGGAGGGAGGGAGCAAGAGCAGCAGAAGGGAGGGGAGGGAGCAAGAGCAGCAGGAGGGAGGGAGGAAGGAAGAGCAGCAGGAGGGAGGGAGGGAGCAAGAGCAGCAGGCTGGTCGCTGCCTCCTACCTGGAGTTCATCCACTGCCCGCTGTAGTTGGCGCCGAGAGACTGCGAGAACTGCATGGTCTGGTCGATGCGAAGCTTGCTCCAGGTCGAGAACAGCTGACCTCTGTCGGTGTCAGCGGAGAACAGGATCTCGATGGCGTCCGAGTTGGAGTAGACGGAGTTGGCGTTGGTGGGATCGAATGCCCGCAGGCTGTTGATGGTGATGCCGGCAGGTCCGAAGTTACCAATGAGAGTAGGAGAGGTAACGAGTGAGGGGGAGGTAACTGGAGGAAACTCCATAAGGTTCCCTGACTTCTTCACCGTGACCCGGAAGTTTCCGATGGTGGGGGGCCACTGCCGAGGGGGTCGAGGATGATGAGGCGGAGCAGGGAGCGGGTGAGCCAGAGCCCGGAGTACGCCCTGCCGATGGGAACGCTGAAGGAGAAGAGGTTGTCGATCAGCTCTTGTGTGCAGTTGTCCGGGAGGAAGCCCTTGTTGGTTGGGCGGTCGAATAGGATCTCAATCTTGTCCGAGGAGGTGAACTGCCCGTTCTGATCTCCGGCAATCGCCGAGACGGAGCTGATGGTCAGTAGGGAAACGCCAAAGGAGCCATTGAGTTTTGGGGTGCTGGCAACCACAGGAGCAGTGATCTTGGGCATGCTACGCAGGTTCCCTGATGCCTTGAAGGATCCGATGAACGTGTTCTGCTCTCCTACACATGCAAGAGCGGTAGGAGAGCAGCCGAGAGAGGGAGGAGCGGCGCCAGTAGCATCCTGCACTACGATGCGGAGAGTCTTGGTGTCAACCCAGAGGCCGTAGTAGAAGAGACCGAGGGAGAGGTTGAAGGAGAAGAGCCTTCCCAGCTCGTACTGGCTCACGAGCTGCGGCAGCCCTGCCTGGTCTGTGTTGTGACTGAGGAGGAAGGTGAGGGTATCGCCGTTGCTGTAGGTGTCGTCGAGGACGGCAGATCGCTCAGCAACTACCGCGAGGATGGTGAGAGGAGAGGGTCCAAAGTCTCCCTGGAGAGGAGGAGAGGTGGCGGTGTTGGGGGCGGACTGCGGCGGGAAGTTGCGGATGTTTCCGGAGGCGTTGACCTTGAGGGAGAACTGGCCGATGATAGGATCGCAGGCCCCTTGTGTGTTTATCATGTTGATGACGAACGTTTGCCTGTCGCTCCATGACCCCTGGTAGTCTGCTCCTATTGGGCAAGAAAAGATGAAAATGGTATCCACTTGCTGCTTTGAGAGCGTGCTTCCTATGCTGTAGCCTGTCGAGCACGTCAGTTTTCCTCCGTGCTCTTCTTTCTCCTCCTTCAACCTCCTACACTCCCTCCTCTACTCTACTTCCTTTCTCTTCCTCCTTCACTTTCAACTTCCTCCTCAACTCTGCTGTCTGAGACACCTTTGCTTCCTCCTCCGCTCTTTTCTCGCCATGTCTTCGTTTTCTCCCTCCCTCTTCTCCCCCGCATACTTTCATCTCACCTCCCAAGTTTGTGCTCTCGCTAAAGGTGACTTGGATGCGATCGTTGGGTCCGAAGTAGGTGTCAGGTGGGACCGAGCTTGACCCGAACAGGGAGGTAATGACCATGAGGGAGGGCCCAAAGTCGCCAGTGAGAGGAGGAGAGTAACGGAAGCAAGGTTTCGACCCCGTCAGCTTCGTGATGGGCACGTAGGTGGAGTCGAGCACGAGGCCGGACGGAGGAGAGAAAGGAGGCTGGAAGGGTCCCTTGCAGCGGACCGTCAGATCTCCGATGGAGGGAGGAGAGGCGCCGGCGATGCTCTCGACGGTCAGTGTGAGCTGAGTACTGGAGTCCCAGGAACCGAAGACAGAGCCCAAGTTCTGCGAAAAGTCGAACATTGAAAGGATAACTTCGTTAGTTATCCTGCTGTTGGTCGTGTATCCGGCCTGGTTGGTTGGCTCCGAGAAACGTAATATAATCATATCCAGGAAACCGTACACCTCGTCGATACCCGTCGGATCCTGCCCCCTCACCACAGTGATGTAGGGGATAGTCTGCCCAAAGTTTCCAGAGAGAGGAGGAGAAGTAGCCGAGCTGGCTCTGCAGGTAGGAGGGAAGTTGCGGATGTTCCCGCTGGGGAGGACGGAGACGCGAGTAGTTCCTATCTTAAGCTGAGCTCCGGAGATGTTGAGGATGGTGATCTTGACGACGCTGCTGTCTTGCTGCCACTCCCCTGAGTAGTTGGCGCCGATGGAGTTTGAGAAGGAAAGGAACGCGTCGATCTGAGTTTTGTTCAGCGAAGTTGGGAGATTTCCTTGATTTGTCTTTCTCGAGAAGGTGATGTAGAACGTGTCCCCAACTCCGTAGACTGCGGCGGATGTGAGGAGAGGAGGGAGGAGAAGACGAGGTTGAGAAACAAGTGGAGTAGAAGTGGGAGGAAGCAGGAGCAGGGAGCAGGGAGCAGGGAGCAGGGAGCAGGGAGCAGGGAGCAGGGAGCAAGAGGACAGGTCTTCTCACCCTCATCTAAGTTGTAAGGATCCTCCACTCTGAACGAGATGATGAGGATGTTCGAGGGCCCGAAGTCTCCTGACAGCCTTCTCCACGTCAGCAGGAGGGAGCGCAACAACTCTCCTCTTGTCCCCACCTGACGTCCGGGAAGGAGCGATCAAGGGGAGCAGAGGAGCCCTGGGCATTCCGGAGGTTCCCCTGAGCCTTGACGGAGACGTACATGTCACCGATAGTCGGAGGAGAGCTTCCTGTGGCGTCAGAGATGAAGATGGTGAGGGAGCGAGCATCGTTCCAGGAGGCCCGGTAGTCCAACCCCAGGAGAAGAGAGAAGCTGAAAAGGTTGTCCACCTGCGCCCTTGTCATCGCAACTCCAGCCAGACCAGCGTAGTTGGTGTCTTGGTTGAAAGTGATGATGATGGTATCCCCTGGAGAACAGGTTCAGGTGCAAGGGTTGGAGGAGAAGAGCAGGAGTGCTATGGTGAATGAGAACAATGCAGGAGAGCATAGGAACCAAATGAGAAGATTCAAGGTTCAACACACAACAAAACAAGAGAATTGCTGCCGAGGACGCGGAAGGAAGTCATATAGCACGAGATTCGAACCGTTGGTGTAGAGAGACGAAGCATCGGTCGGGTCTTTGGCCACGACGCTGACGACGGTGATGGTGGAGGGTCCAAAGTCACCTCGAAGAATGACGGAAGTGCTTGCGGTTAGAGGAGCACACTGAGGAGGATAGTTGCGGATATCGGAGAAGTTTGTGAAGCCGATCTTGAGGAAGTCAGGGAGAGGATACTGCGCTCCTGTGACGGAGACGATGGTGATGATGAATCGTCTCCTCGTCGTCCACATGGCCTTGTAGTCCTGCCCGATGCTCCTTGAAAGGAAGAGCATCCTGTTGAGGTCTGACGTGTAGATCCAAGTATCCAGCGGCAACCCTCCTGTGTTGGTGTCCTGGTGTGAACGAGAGGATTCAGAAGGAGAAGGATCATAGAGTGACGGAGCAACAGCAAGGCATCTACACTTCCCTCCTCCTCTCAGTGTCCTCCCTCACAATGTTCTCACCTCGCTAAAGGAAACGATGATCTGATCCCCTGGCATGTACACGGAGTCGAGCCCGAGAATCGTCTTGTTGGCCCACGCCTGTGCTTGAACGAGGAAGGAGATATTGGAGGGGCCGAAGTCGCCTTGCAGGAGGGGAGATTCTTGGAAACAAGCTCCTTCCGAGTTGTCCGCGAGGCGGATGAGAGAGCTCGGGTTCGACTGGTTGTTTCTGCACGTCACAGTCAACTTTCCTAGCAGGGGCTGCGTGCTGCCGTTGACGTCGAGGACGGTGACGACGAAAGTTTTGTCGTCAGCAAAGGTGCCCTGGTAGTCTCGTCCTAGCGGGAGGGAAAAGATGAAGAGAGAGTCGACCTGCACTCGACTCAACGTCGCACTTCCCCTTCCTGCTCGGTTCGTCGCCAGGTCGAAGGTCAAAGTGACGTGGTCCCCAGCTGCGTACACTGAATCTCGAGCATTCGGGTCGGAGGCAGTCAGTGCGAGGATGCGAGGAACGATGAGGCCGAAGTTGCCTCCCAGGATCGCAGTCGCCGTGCTGGGGGCAGCAGTCGGAGGGAAGTTGCGGAGGTTTGCGGAGAGTTTGACGGTTGCGGTCATGACACCGATCTTGGGGGGCGAGGAGAAGGTCGTGTTGAGAACGGTGATTCTGAAGACATTGCGGGAGATCCAGATGCCTTGGTACGATCCGAGAGACTGGGAGAAGTTGAAGATAGTCTCTACACGATCTTGGGGGAGGAGAACGCCGGAGGCAAAGCCGGCCATGTTGGTGTCGCGGTTGAAAGTGATGGTGATGATATCGCCCATGGAGTAGATGACGTCTGCGTTGTCGGGATCTGAAGCAAGCATCGACTACGGCAATGTCACGGTCGTGAAAAGAGCAAAGAGAGGAGGGAGGTGAAGGGCAAGACCTCATTGCAGACTCAAGCTAGAGTGTAGAGAGGTGATGGTGATGACAACTGCAAGGCAAAATGTGCTTACCAGGATGTATACGTTGGAGGGACCAAAGTTCCCAGAAAGGGTAGGGGAGGATGTTGCCAGTGGCGCACAGGCTGCAGGAAAGTTTCTCACCCCGTACCTTTGATCTGCGATGAAGCGCACGGTGAAGACATCAACCTCTGCAAAGCCTCCGGTCGCGTCTACCACGTTGATCTCAAGAGTGAAGCGATCAGTGAACTTTGCTGTGTAGTTCCTTCCGATGGAGGAAGACGTCGAGAGGAAAGGAGCTATCCTATCCATCCTCATCACGCTCCCAATCGCGCTGCTGCCAGCCAAGTTCGTCTCCCTGTTGAACTTGGCGATCAACGCAACTCCGTTGCCGTAAATGCTGTCGCCCAGCCCTGTAGGGTTTCCTCGAGCCGTGAGAGAGATGCAGGAGACTACAGCAGGGCCGAAGTCGCCCAACATCTTCGGGGACGAGCTTGTGCATGCTACAGACAGAGCTGGGCTCGCGACGCGGATCGCCCTTCCTCCGTCCGTCCTGCACGTCACAACCAGGCCTGACGGCTCTCCTACCTCCGGGGGTCCTGACTGAAGGTAAGCGAATCCTCAAGTCAATGAGGTAAGAAATTTCACCTGATCCCGGCCAATCCAAGATTGTGATAACAAACTTAGAAGCAGTCTCCCACACTCCCTCGTAATCAGCTCCCAAAGGCACTGAGAAGCTGAAGAGTGATAGGACGGAAGCTTTCGGAATCGTAGCGGAAGTAAAACCTCCAAGATCTGTATCCTTGTCAAACTGAACGGTGATCCTGTCCCCGTTGGCGAAGACAGAGTCGCCAGACACGCCATTGGTCGGAGGACTTGCCGTGACACTAGCGATGGTTGGCGGGTCAACGACTATCAGCTGTGAACAAACTTGATGCAAAGAATCGAGCGACAATATAGAATACAACAAGACTGCAAATAAACGGTGCTTGAAAGACATCTCAAACACCCACACAGAGAGCAAGGGGTGAGTATAGACTGTTCGAGTGGAGGTGGGACTCAATACGACAAGTTGTTCCCAGACAGCTGCTTCGGTGCCTAGTGACCGAGACTAAAGACAGTTTGATCGCTGGAGGAAACGAAGCCAACCAGTTCCTGTCGTCCTGTGATCGCTGGGTAAACGATCTTTGAGAGTCAGACAAGGCATCATCGATTGCAGAGCTGTTAGCGAGGTTGACCAATCCTCCTTTGAAACTTGCAGTTGTCGCTTCACACTTCAACCATCAATGATGCTATGTCCTCTTTCATGCTCGGGGAACTGAACTGAGAGCTCATGAACGCCTTTGGCTGCCACCCAGTCTTCAGTGCTGTGTCACCCGCTTGTCAGACTCAGTGATGATGTCTTCAACTGTGTCAGTTGAGCCTAACAGATCTGCACGGCACTGAGCCATCAGCCCTTTGAAGCCATTCCGCTTGCATTGCAGTAGCTGGTCAAAAAGGATTGTAATCAAACTGATTGTCAAGTTTGATAGGAACAGTTGAGTGATTTTATATTTACTACTGAGTCTACTCTCTAACTAAACTAAACTAAACTAAACTAAACTAAACTAAACTAAACTAGGCCGCACTGGCTAGAAACCTGACCAACTTCGCGGTGCCGACGCAGATGCCGTTCGGCCCGGCGGCTCGGCGGCTGCCCTCAAAGTTAAGTTAAAGATCCTACCTTACTCAAAGTTAAGTTAAAAATCAGTACGAGGACAATAATGATCAGTACGAGGACAATCACGGTAGCCGTTCAGCGGCTCTTCCAGCGGTTGAAGGAGGCCAAGTACTGCTGACCGTACGGTATTACCGTAGTACTGACTACCGTACTACTGACTACGGGTACTGGGGGTAGGTGGTATTCTGGTGGTTTATAAGATCCCTCCACGCTCAGCTCGTCCAGCTGTCATGCTGATTGTGTGCGCGCTTTGGATCGTACTGGGAGGCTGGGTCGGGGAGGCTGAGGCGCAAAGCAGTGTGAGCTGTGGAGGTTGCACGTTTAATGTCTCGCATGAGGGTTTGTTGACGAGGGGGGGTACCTGTCAGGGTGACTGCGGAATTGATGCTGGTGGTCGGAAACCTCTGCACTTGGAAAACTTGGGTATTCGGAGTTTGAAGAATGGGACCTTCGACGGGCTCTCGAGCTTGCAGGATCTATATCTTCAGAACAACAAACTGGAGAGTCTACCTGCACCAGTCTTCGACGCGCTTTCAAGCTTACAATTTCTTTACCTGAACAACAACGAGATTTCCTGCATCTCTTCCCAGGTATTCACACAGTTGTCAAGTTCAATCATCACTTTAGACCTGAGAGACAACAATCTGTCGTGTTATGATCCGACTTGGCCAGGAATTGTTCGATGGGATGTGAACCTCGAATCGTGCTTAAACGAAGCACAACATTGTGATGACAACGAAATTACCATCTCCAATCCAACTGAAACTCCAACTACAGCCTTTTTGACAAAAGTCGACAGTAAAATTGCAATACGAGAAGCCTCTGCTGCTTCCTTCGACGCAAGTATGACACCAACAGGTCTTGATTATGCATTTTCAGTGTCTGCATGGAGCAATTCCACAAACAGAGCAAACACAGCCTTCAGAGAAGCTGTTACTGTGAATGGAATAGCTGGGCTACGATTAAGATATCAATATAGAACAACTCCTCGTGATGGACAATGGACATTTACAACGATTTCACCACGAACTGAAAGCTTAACGTTCAACTACAGTTCTTCTCAATTCCATTCTTGGTATCATGCCGAAAGATATGCACATATTTTTGTAGGTTCAGTATCGAATAATGTTCGGACTATTACTCAAAGTTCCGGTCAAATTACTCTATCATTGAATGCTGGTCAAAGTTGGGGGTTTCACTTTTCAGGAAGTCATTACGATTGGGCAAATATAATGGATGGTCAAGTTACCATTTGGAAAGACCCTGAAATGAATCCAGATGAAGCATCGCAAGAGATGAAGGGCAAAGAACTTACACCAATTCGTCCAGTTTACATCAACTGTCAAATGAATTACACATGGAATGATATCATCCACGGACAAGTGTCAATGAACCAAACCTTCAAGTCAGGCGGGCTGGGCAAACTTATGATTCGAGGCCATTTCGAGGTCTGGGTGTGCAGCTATAGCGACGAGTGTGCCAAGCCCAGCAACCCTTTTTGTTACTTTTTCGATGAGCAGCAAAAGGTCTTTTCCCCATGGTGAGTCTTCTTTCTCTTCATCGAAACCTATCACGGATGTACTGAAAAACTTTCTACAGGGGTTTAGAGGAGGAGCTCATGCTTAGCTAAATACCAAAGCGAGAGCCAATGATCTCTCCTCAGTGCCACGGTCACAGTACGCGTACGGTCGGAACTTTATGATGTCCGTCATCGGATGACCAGTGATGACCCGATCACTCGTTAAATGTACTAGTCTCATGGCGGCCCTAATACTAATATGAGTGGGTTGATCGGACTCCGTCACTAAATAGTGTGGCCCTGAAAGCGAATGAGTAGCCTAGCTAGTAGCGAGCTACTGAGGCACTTAATAAAGATATCTTTGGGGGTAAAGAGAAGGTCGTGTTGAGAACGGTGATTCTGAAGACATTGCGGGAGATCCAGATGCCTTGGTACGATCCGAGAGACTGGGAGAAGTTGAAGATAGTCTCTACACGATCTTGGGGGAGGAGAACGCCGGAGGCAAAGCCGGAGGCAAAGCCGGAGGCAAAGCCGGAGGCAAAGCCGGAGGCAAAGCCGGAGGCAAAGCGGCGGAGGCAAAGCCGGAGGCAAAGCGGCGGAGGCAAAGCCGGAGGCAAAGCCGGAGGCAAAGCCGGAGGCAAAGCCGGAGGCAAAGCGCGGAGGCAAAGCCGGAGGCAAAGCGGCGGAGGCAAAGCCGGAGGCAAAGCCGGAGGCAAAGCCGGAGGCAAAGCCGGAGGCAAAGCCGGAGGCAAAGCCGGAGGCAAAGCCGGAGGCAAAGCCGGCCATGTTGGTGTCGCGGTTGAAAGTGATGGTGATGATATCGCCCATGGAGTAGATGACGTCTGCGTTGTCGGGATCTGAAACAAGCAGAACCTCCGCCGCCCGGCGGGCCGGACTCCGGCCGCCGGGAACTCAGTGGAACTTGAACTTGAGTTCTAGTCGGCGGTATGAGGACCCCACCCCTTTGAGGTGACCTTGGGGAAGGGGGTTAATTTTACTCATTCAAGGGGGTAGTGAGGAAATTTGAATTTCGAGGGGGTGGGGTGACATTTAAATGGCCTTGTAAAAGGGATGTACATGGAATCGGGGGTAGTGGTGGTCAAATCAGGCTCAAGGGGTGGGTATACGTTCTTCAATATGGTATGCAATGGGGGGTACAATGTAGAAGGGGGTGGGATGATCCCTCCAGAAATAGGAAAAAGGGAGGGTCATTTGTGAGACTGATCGCAATGAGTGGGTGGGGTACATGTCTGGCAGGGGTAGTGATCTAAGATGGACCCGAGGGGGTATGGTAACCAATGGGTCGTCGTCGGGGTAGGGGTTGTCGGGACAACGGAAACGACGCCAGTGCATGGCGAGGAAGGGGAGGGGGAGGAGGCGAGGGGAGGAGAAGGAGGAGTGAGATGAAAGAAGGAGGAGAGTACGAGGAGGAATGGAGAGTGAGTTTTCAGAGAAGGAGATTGATCCAAATGAAATGAGGCCAAATGAAACGGCAGTGAACAGATGTTGGCGTATATGGCAAAATGGACCAAGGATGGTTTTTCAAATGCAGGCAGGGGGAAGCAGAGAGCGAGAATGCCGAGATAGCTACACTTTCCTCTGACATAGTTAGTAATCACTGCGTTCAGCATAGTCAGCAACTCTAAGATCATGACCAGTTGCTTCTCACTTGTTGTATGCTCGAATGTTGAGGTTGGTCGCATGACAAATGCGCGTTGAACCGCTCGTTGAATATTCGTTATGCCCTGTTGTTTGAATTTCTTCAGTCTTTCAATAATGCATTTGTCAAGCTTGCTCCGTTTGTTGACTCATCCCCCCTCATTCAAAATTCTGAACGATTCAAATCTAACAGTAACAACTATACTTCGAGACAAGCGGTTCACAAAATTGACTTTGATCCGCAGGCATTTATAACCAGGCAGGACACACAAGGAATACACCATTGGCTCGGATAATCTGAGCAAGCCAATTGATCATGTTCACCCTCGCTGGCAACTTCTATAATTGGGTGAAAAAGAAGCAGGAGAAGAGCGTGACAATTATCGTCCTCGGCTTGGACAATGCGGGCAAGACGACGCTGCTCTATGGGCTCAAGGACGAGCTTCCGCAAGCTGACGTGACTCCTACCATTGGGTTTCGTCCTAGCAAGCTCATCAGCGGGAAGTACACGATCCAGTGGTTCGATGTAGGAGGAGCGAAGAACTTTCGGCGAGTGTGGCAGAGCTACTACCCTGAGGTGAGGAGAGAGGAGACGTGAGGACGGGCGATGCTCATTCAGCACCTTCAGGTCCATGGCGTCATCTACGTCGTGGATGCCGCAGCTCCTGAGCGGTTCGAAGAGGCAAAGGAAACGCTCGACAAGACGTTGGAGTCCGAGGGAATCCCGGGCAAGCCTGTGCTGATCTTTGCAAACAAGCAAGACCTCGACGGCTGCATCTCAGCTCACGAGCTGTCTCAGAAACTTGGGATGTTGGACCGCAAGGACTGTTGCCATCATGTTGCAAACTGTCAAGCGAAGCCCAATGAAGGAGATCCGGTGGACCCGCGGATCGGCAAGGCGCTCAAGTGGCTGCTGGATGCGATCGAGAAGGACTACAAGTCTCTCAGCGAACGGGTCAAGAAAGACATGGAAGAGCAGAAGCGCAAGGAGAAAGAGAGGAAGGAGGCGCAGCGGAAGAGAGCGGAAGAGGCCAAGGCTGCAAGGCTGAGGGAGCAGGCAGAGAAGGAGGCTAAGGAGAAGGAGGGCAAAGAGAAAGGGGCGAGCATAGAGATGGCGGTTGACTCTGGCAAGAACACATCCAGCGAGGATGCAAGCAAGGAGACTGAGGTGGATGCTGTGGTCAAGACCGAACCGATCGTGGAGATTCGGCAAAGCGCGGCGTTGGAGCAGCGTGAAGAGGAACCGAGAAGGAGGAGTGATGGGTTCGGCTCCCCCCCCTCCAACCGCCTGCCAGCCCTTGAGGTTGAGCCCTCGACCACAAGGACAGGAAACACCCTGAGGCTAACGGACTTGAAACCGATGCCTCCTGTAGTCGACACGTTGCAAGACTCTCCTGTTCGCAAGGCAGATGTCACTCTGCCGAACGTTGTTCCCTCCCCCCAGCTCTACTCCCACGAAGGTACGCATTGATGTCTTGAAAGGTACGAATTGCTGTCTTGAAAAGCAACATGACTCTTGTAAAATATAAAATTTCAATTTCCTTGTTTCGACCAATCGCCTCTCGCTACCCTCTCCTTAACTCCCTTCTCCTGATCTGTTACCTCTTGCTCTTGTCAATGTCCAGCACCCCCTGCTCCTCGTCCAACACGGCCTGCTGCGATCGCAGGAAGCCTGTCAGCTCCTCCTTGCTCGAACAGCCCAACAGGCCCCTCAACTCGACCAGCGGGAATCCGAACTTGTACGCCTTGAGCATGGCGGAATAGTACCTGCTCCTCATGGAGGGAGTGATAAGAGTCTCATGGACGTGCCGTTGGTCCTTGACTTCGTCTGGAATCGCAGCGACAAGCTTGAAGTAGGACACGACATCGCCTGTGAGGACTGCGGAAACAATTTCGAGCGCGTGCTTGACTGCCGGGTGTTGCTCGAACTGAGAAAGCGACGCCATGCAGGCATGCACGACCAGAAGAGAGTCTTCATGCTCCAGCGACAGCCCCAGCCACAGCACAAGTCTGTAGATCCCAAACTCAACCTCGTGCCCGCTGTTGGCGTTCTTCTCATAAAGTTCCTGCAGATGAATCAAGCAGTCTCCCAGCGTCTTCGTATCCAAACGCTTCTTGTCTCCAATACGCGCGCGCATGGCGCAGCGAGCAAAGTTCTCCCTCACTTCAACTGTGAAGCCTCCTTCCAGCTGTTGTATCCTCAGATCTTGACAGATGGACATGTAGTACTCGTGGCAAACCTCGTACTCCTCTCCATCCGCCTCCCTCTTCTTCACCGCCTCGAGCGACAGCTTCAGCACACGCTCTGGCCGGATAGTGGAGGGATGCGGCTGACTTTGCACTCTAATATATCTTTTCTCCACGTCCTGGCAAGTACCAACAATCCCAGCACTCACCCGTAGAAAACCGTCTGTTTCGATCTCCCCAGCTCTATCCTCCCTTGTCGCCCTCTGTTGGTAATTGTTGTATCTCCCACGATGCTGGCTGTTACCTCCTCTGCGTTCATCGTTCCTTCTCAAGTTAGCCATGTTGTCTTTGTTGCTTCTCGAACAGATTGTTTGGTCTTGATGCTCTTAGAGCTGATCCCTTGCGCCTCACACTGAATACTCGACCTTTATCTTGCCCTCCTGACCAACAATCCTTGTAACTTTCTTTTCCAGCTTCCTTCTGCTTCTTCCTTGCTCTCACTTTCTGCTCTGCTCTGCTCTGCTCTGCTCTGCTCTGCTCTGCTCTGCTCTGCTCTGCTCTCTCCCCCCTCCTACCGTCTCGTCCTGAGGTGAGCCGTAGTATTATTGAAAGGGGGTAGGGGTAGAAATACCCAGGCAAGGGTGGGGAAGTGCTCTTTGTTTACAGGGGTGATGTGATATTGTAAATAGGGGTTAATTTTTCAGGGGTAGTACAATGCAGGGGGTAGGGTAAAATGATGAGGATGTTTACGAAAAGGGTGGGGGTCCTCGCAGTGTGACCAGCGCGTCATCATGGCAGCGAGGGAAGAAGGAGAAAGCAAGAGAAGTAGAAGAGGAGAGGAGGAGAGAGGAAACGAGAAGAAGGAAGAGGAAGATTATCAGGAGGAGGAGGAGGAGGAGGAGGAGGAGGAGGAGGAGGAGGAGGAGGAGATCTAGTTTGCTTTGTTAGAGAAGAGAGCAACAGGAGACAAGGAGAGAGAAACGGAGCAAGTGTCTGGCAGAGCGGTAAAGAGGATGAGTTCTGATGTCAAGACATACGCATGGGAGACGAATGGTGATGGTAATGACAAGATCGACTGACACATGCCTTTCAGGAGTAAACATCTTTCTCTTCCTTCAAGGCAAACCTGACCTTCATCGCTGCGGATTTTACGACTGGGCCCTTCAACTATCGTGGAGCATACGATGGCTGACTTTCGTTCTGTCCTCAAGAAGACAGGACTGCGCGAAGAAGCAGAGACGACCTCCCCCAGCACGGCCTCGGCACCGAAAGCTTCTCCTCCCGCAAAGTCCGCTTCTCCATCCAAGGTCGTGAAGGGAGCTGCCTCACCCAAGGACGACGATTTGCAGAAGAAACTCGCGGCAAGGAGACAGTGGGAGCAAGAGGAGGAGAAGAAGAAGAAGTCGCATGCTGCTGCTGCTGCCCCCCCGCAAGGTCGAGGAGGACAGGCCAACGTGGGAAGCGCGCCGGGAGTTATTCCTCCTGCCGAAGATTTGCAGGCAAAGCTTGCGAGGAGGAGGCAGTGGGAGAGTGAAGCCTCCAGTGCTGGCAATGAACCCTCTGCTCCGTCTTCCAGCATGCAGAAGCCCTCGAAGAACGGTGAGGAGGAGGAGGAGGAGGAGGAGGAAGAGTCGAACAAGCTCCCGCCATGGAAGCAAGGAGTAGCAGGTTCAAGCAAACAGAGCCCTGCTAAGAAGGAGGAAGTCATCAAGAGCGAGGCCCCGAAGGTCTCTTCTGCTCCTGTGCTCAGCGCTCCGGGTGTAGTACCTCCTGCTGAAGACCTTGCCAGCAAACTCGCGAGGAGGAGGCAGTGGGAAAACGGCTCTTCCTCTGAGGAAAAAGTTGGCAAGCAGGAACAAAATGTGAAGGAGGTGGCGAAGAATGGCACAGCAGAACGACCAAGAGAAGAAGATCGAGCTGAGGTGAAGGAGAGTACGGTAAAGGAGGATGCGGCAGTGAAGGCGGATGAGCGAGTTGAAGCGCCTGTCAAGGCCTCAGAAGCTGCGACGAGACGTGAAGAAGCTGAGAAGGTTGTGGAGAAGACAGAAGGGCTGAAGACAGGCCTGAAGAAAACAGGTCTCCTCCCTTCATCTTCATCTTCACCTTCACCTCCGGCACAGCCGAAGGACGATGAGGAGACGGTTGAAAGAGCCAAGCAGCTCCTTGCCTCAGCTCGACAGCAGAAGGAGGAGAGCAGCCGCGTGAAGAAGCTGGCAGCATCAAGCTTGTTCAGGGAGGAGGAAGAGGAGGAGGAAGGGACTCGTTCCCCTCTGTTCAAGAAGGATGTCAAGGAGGCGAAGCAGGCTGATCAGCTGTTCAAGGAGAAGCCTCACCCTACCAAGGTTGATCCTCCTTCCAAGGCTCAGACCTTCTTCGAGGAAGAGACGGGCGAGTTGACGGCGGAGGAAAGGAGGAAGCTGGAGGAAGAGGATCGTAGAGCGCAGGAGGAGGCGAAGATGTTGGAGCAGAAGACCAAGGAAGCACAAGCACGAGCGATCATGCTGAGGCAGAGAGCGCAGAGCGCCATGTTCGATGATGACGTGGACGAGACCGAGGCTCTGCTGCAGAAGATGAAGACGAGGAAAGAGGACGATAACGGAGCTTCACTGGTGAATAAGATGAAGGAGATCGGATCCTCCTACAAGGCTGCCATGGTGAAGGAAAGGGAGCACAAGCAGGAGGCGAGCCAGGCGAGCCAGGAGGAGGAGCGAGAGGAAAGAAATGACTTCGATGAGGAGAAGGAAGTGTCGGAGGCGATCAAGAAACTTGACATGCACCGAGGTCCCCGAGAGGAGGAGGCACACCCTGCGAGCGGGGGCCAACGAGCTGAGAAATCCTTCCAAGACAAGAAGGGCACGTTTGAGCAGGCGGGGGAGATCTTTACCTACGGAGGAGCGTCTGTGCTGTATGAGAAGAAAGGTTCTCCTGCTCCTCCCAGCAAGGGGAAGGTCCCTCCCAAGAAGCCCGAGAACCCTCCTCCCAGACCGGAAGCTCCGCAAGTTGTAACCCCCACGCTGACTGCCAAGGAGAAGTCTCTGTTTGGGGCGGAGGAGGAGGAGGAGACGAGCGCAAGGACAAATCCCAAGTCTTCTCTGAAGCTTCTGTTCGGGGATGGAGGGGAGGAGGAAAAGCCCAAGAAGAAGCCCTCCTCGTCCTCCTCGTCCTTGTTCGAAGCCGATTTCAAGGGCAGCGAGTCGAAGGCTGCGCCCACTGAAACTGCCAAAATCAGCGGCGATAGTCTCCGACCGGCTGTGCTGAGCGGAGGAGCAGTAGACCCTCTCATGAAGGCTGTGGTGGATGAGCAGGAGCAGGAGAAGACCAAGGGGTTTGCAAGCGTAGATGTCTCAGGTGGGTCTTATTGGAGGCTGGGAGGAGTGAAAGTTTGAGAGAGGAGGAGGAGGAGGAGGAGGAGGAGGAGGAGGAGGAGGAGGAGGAGTGTTGATTGAAAGAGGGCTAGGTAAGGAAGAGTAGGAAGAATGGAGGGGATAGTGGTGGGTCATTCAACGATCTCACCGTTACTTCAGATCTGAAAATTCCTTTGAAGCAAGCTGAAACTTCGCTGAGTCCCCAAAAACCGCAAGGTGAACTTCAAGCCCCTCGTCCCCCTCCTCCTTCCCATCTGTCCTCTCCTTCCTCTCCTTCCTCTCCTTCCTCTCTTGACCTCCTTCACTACACCACCTCCACCATCTCCTCTGCCTCCTTAACCGCCACCACCAACTCCACTTACTCCTCATCCTCCTATCCAGCCTCATACTGATGTTTTGCTGCTCTGTTCCGATAGGCAAAGAAGAAACTTCAGTGTTGATACCCACCGAGGACGAGAAACCCAAACGTCCACCAGCCCCGCCTCCTGTCCCTCCTCCTAGCGTTCCTCCTCCTACAGCTGCTCCTCCCCATGTCAAAGCTCCTCCCCCTCCCAGCGCTCCTCCTCCCGGCGTTCCCCTTCCTTCTGCTCCTCCCCCCTCAGCACCCCCTCCCTCCGTTCCTCCCCCATCGTCCTCCTCCCATTCTCCGCTGGAGGGCAGGATCCTGCAGAGAAGGCGTCGAAACGACCTCCTCCTCCTCCAGGCAAACCTCCTCCTCCTCCGGTAACATCTGCTGCCTCCTGCATGCCAGTGACTGAATAGCAACGCAGGGCCCTCCGCCTTCCAAGTCCGGATCGATGGAAGCTCCTCCTCAACGCGCCGCTCCTCCTCCTCCCCCTGGAAAGAAGCCAACTAAAACAGCTGAGAGTCTCGGGTAAGCCTCCAGCCTCCTCACTGTCCCTTCCTCCTTCCTTTCTCACGCTCACTCCTCGGGAAACCTCGCCTCGTTCCCCTCACCTCTACCTGTTACCGTACCGTAGTACCTTGACTGAGGCTCTGGCAGGTTGTTCGGCGGGGACGACAAGGAGGACGGAGGAGGGTCTTTGTTTGGAGGCAGCAAGAGCTCCAGCCTCTTTGACGACTGATCAACGGGGCCACTGCCGCTCTGTCGGGGCCAGGCTGGGAGTGACCGGGTACGGTGCGGTAGGACTTGCAGGCTTGGCACTCAGTGTCACTGGCGACTGAGTAAACCAGCGGCCGCCGGGTTGATCGGACGTTCAGTCGTGATTCAATTCCGAATCATTTTCTACACTACCGCCGAGTACTCAGTACCATCATGACGGCATCGCGGCCCGAGCCCGGCACCGGGGCCCCGCCCGGGGGCCGGGCCACTGCTACGGCGCGGCCCGGCTCAGCGCTCACTCCGTGGCAGCCTGAGCGCGGCGTCCGGTCCGTCCGCCGGGCCCCGGGGGGGGGGTGGGGGGGGCCCGGGGCGCGCCGCGGGGCTACTGCCGCGGGCCGCGGGCCGCTGAGACTCGGAGAGTCACTGGCCCGGCCCGGCCCCCGGCGGTCGGTCACGGTCGTACGGTACTAGTGACGGCGCGGCGCGGCGCCCGGGCCGCCCCGGTGTCACGTCACGTACCGTGACCGTACCGTACGGTCATGTCGCACTCGATACGCGCCAACACTGACAGTGTACCATGCTCCGTATCTCAGGAGAAATGAATGACGTACTTCAAAAAAGTCACTTGTAACTCTTGCCGTGTTATAAGGCTCTTCATCTCGCTCAGCTGCTGCTCCCCCGATCTCAACCGTGTGAGAAACCAGAAGGTCTCAAAACGATGACAGTAGGCGAGTCGGTCCTGGTGTAAAATGACAGTGCCCCTTTTTATATTGTTTTAACGCTTTAAGTGGTCTTTTGCCTACAATACTTTTAGACCCCGGCCTCCTCGAGATCGCCTGGAAACAAATACCCCTCCCTACCCCACCCCTCCTGGCAAAGAACCTTCGGAGGCACATTTTCCTTCCTCCACCCACGCTTTACCTATCATTTATACCCCTGGTAAAGTTACCCCTACCCCATCAGTACAAGAGAAGAGTGGACCCACCCCCTTCCTTATCGGATGTCTTGGCCTGTCTGGCGCATGTCACCCCACCCCACCCCTATGAAAGCATCCTTCGTTCTCAACCCAGTACCCCATAAATCCCTCAATTACCCCCATGATCTCCAGACAAACCTATACCACCCTACCCACCCATCGGACGGGTAGTTTACAATTTGTATGAACACTACGGTGGTGCCTTGTGCATCTCCCCGGTGCTTCACCCCTCCTTTTCTCTTGAAAGTACCCACCCCAATATATTTCAGACCAGTACCCCCTCTTTAACACTTCATCACCCCTAGTCTTCCTCTTCCCCCTTCTGTACGCCCTAGAACGGCCCCCTTTATGTAGTAAAGAATGAGGTCATAGGGGTGGGGTAATGTATCAGGGGTGGGGTCAATTAGAGGGTCAAACGAGCTGTGAAATATCGAGTCAAACCACGAGCCAAAGGTGGGTACTGTGGTGAAGAGTGCGTAGGGGTAGTGGACAGAATCATGTCGACGTAGGGTAGGGTAGGGGGTTTCTATTTAAAAGTGATTTTAATTATAATCATATGATCCTAAGACCATGGGCAATAGGAAGATATCACACAGAAGCACCTGATACACCGGGGGGCCTTAGGCATATAGAACCTTCCTATCACTTACCTACCTGTTAGCGTGTCAGGTGCCCAATGAGGGTGGGCTGGATAGACTTCCACAAATAGGGGGTAGGGTTATTTGAGTACCCTTATATTTGCCTATAAATCATTAGGAAATGGGGGGTATAAAAAGAATAATATGGGTAGGGGTAAAGTAGTATCTGGAGGTCGAGGAGGTGGGGTGTATGGAATGTGAAGGATGGCGGGAGTGGTATCGCATTCATGGTCTAGGATAGAGATGAGAAGGGAAGGGACTAGATGAGAAGGAGAGAAGAAGAGGAGCAATGAAACAAAGGTTGAGGTGGTGGCACAAGACATAGTTGTGCTAGAAGGGAAAGTAAGTGAGGAGGACTAGCCGTGCTTTAGTCCTTGGAAGGTTTTGTCGGATGCTCGTATTGAGCGGAGAGGCATTGAAGATGAAGTCTTCAGGACAAGTCTTCCTGTGCCATGCGCACGATAAAACTTCTTCACCTCTGTCATCGGATATGATGGAGGGATTCGGTTGTAAGGAGAATCCAACATAGGGGAGATTTACTGTTTTTTTCGATAAGAAGTCAAATATCAAGAGAGTTGTTTCAGAATGTACAGAAACGTCGAAGACGTTTAGAGACTCTCATCCCCTCACATTGTATCCTAGCATCTGCATACAAGGATTGTGTGCTTCATGTCCGCGGATGACTTGGCTTTTCGCAGGTTTACAACTTGTGCCCAGCAGTACCGAAATCCGAGGAGGGGGAGGATTCGTCGTCAGATTGTTGACCACCACTTGAGATTTGTGTGTGAAATTTAGATGTGACTTGAGGCAATTGATCAGAGAAGGGATCGATTCGAGGTACTCCACTTGTAAAGTGGTCGTCAAGTTTGACTGTTCGGACAGATTTGTACATGCTGATGGGACAACCAGAACGATCGGCTGTGAAGGAGGAGGTAGGAACCATAGAGGATGCGGCGATCTCTGAGAAGGCTAACAAGTCTGCGCAGAGCGAGATTGTTGTATCAAGCTCGTTGGAGAAGATGCGGGAGGAGAAGGAGGAGGAGGACGTTCCATTGCCTGCTCCCCTGGCAAATGGAGCTCTCAAGAAAATCTTAAAGGAGCTGCCGGAGGGAGCAAGGGTTGCTGCCGAGACCTGCGTGCAGTTCTGGAAGGTGGAGGAGGAAGATTGACGGAGCAGGAGGAGTGAGAACGAGTTTGCAGGAGAAGAAATTCCCTACGGAGGAGCTGATTGCGTTCTTGAAGAACATTTCTTCCCACAGGTGCGGGATTGATGTTGAATATATGATGAGGTGGTGAAAGTTTCAGTATGTTTGCTCGCCTGAGAGACGTTGAGATGTGTGATTGTTTCATCTGAGCTATTTCCTTGTTTGATTTCAAATGTCTCACTGTTTCATTTGAAATGTTACAAACAACTGATGTCTTTTCAGTCCAACTCTCAAGAAGAGCTTCGAAGATCAGCACAATGGTTTCCTCAGGGCGATGAAACTGCAGGTGAACTTCTCCTCGCGAGATTGTCCTCCTGTTCACGTTTGTGATGGTGGGTGAACAGGAGGAGCAACAGAGGAAGAGAGAGGAAGAAGAGCTGTACGCCCTTAACATCAGCAAACTCTTAAAAGTGAATGGCTTTCAGGATGGAAAGACAACAAGTATGGATGAGATACAACTCGTTAGATGTGAGTTTGAATCTTCTTACTTCCTGCCTGCCTACCTGTCGTTGTCTCTAGTTCCTCCCTCTCTCCCCTACTCCCTTTGCCTTCTCCTACATCCTCTTCCTGCTTCCCCTTCCTTGCATGTTTTCGTTTGTCATTCTCGTCTTCTCAGGGCTACCCTTCATGGAACCACATGCGGCACTTCCAGCCCAACTCGACCTGGTCGGGAGCAAACAACTTCAACGCTGGTGCTGGAGACTTGTTCACTTCTCCAGTTTCACCTCACCCTTGGCATGTTCTTGTACAGGTTACTTCCATTCCTACCCGCCAAACATGCAAGTAAGAAGCTGCCGCTATGGCTTCCCTCCCGTCCCCTTGTCCCTTCCTTGTCATACTTTCCTCCTCTTTCTCCTTTGCTCCTCTTTCTCCCCTCCTTCTCTCCCCTCCCTCCCCCCCCTCCCTCTTCTCTCATCCTCCTTCCTCTCCTTTGCCTCCGTCCTCCCCGCCTTGCCCCCCCCTCCCCTTCCCCTCCTTCTCTTTCCTCGCTTTCTCTTCCTGCTCACGTGGCTTACTGTGTGCTTACAGTTTATCGGCTCGAGGATAGCAAACTCCAACATGCCGCCGCATCCTCCCTACCATGACTCGCTGCAGCCCATGGCAGAGTACGGACGACAGGTAGAGAGCTGGAAGGGATGGATGTGATGCAGTATGCTCATAGTTGTGCTGCAGAATCTCTTCAAGCGCACCAGGTGAGAGGAGCAGGTGAACTTGTTTCCCCTGCTCACGCTGATGAAGACTTGATTTCTCCGAACGACCCGTGACGCAAACCATGAGGTAGGAGCCTTTCGATGGCAAGAAGGAGCGGGAGGAGGAAGAGGAGGAGGAGGAGGAGGAGGAGGAGGAGGAGGAGGAGGAGGAGGAGGAGGAGGAGGAGGAGGAGGAGGAGGAGGAGGAGGAGGAGGAGGAGGAGCAGCAGCAGCAGCAGCAGCAGCAGCAGCAGTAGCAGCAGCAGCAGCAGTAGCAGTAGCAGTAGCAGCAGCAGGTGTTAGTGAAGCAGGGTGTACTAGTGATAATAAGCGTTACCATGAAGGAGCAAGAGGGTGGTAACAACTTAGACATGACGACAATCTTTCAGTAGCTCGACTTATTCAATCGATGACGTCAGCAAGCGTCAAAGGTTGCCGTCAGACGAGCCTCGTTCTGCACATGGAGTTCCACAGGTAAGTTGAGTCAGGAGGCGTCGGGTGTTATGAAGTTGTTTCTTCTTCCCTTGAGCGAACGTTTTCTTGTCTTTGTTCGTCGTTGCAACCTGACTTGCGCTCAGATCTCCGATGCAGATTTGTCAGCGGCAAAGAAAGCTCTTCAGGGAAGGAGCCAACGGGAGCTCGCAGGTTTGCGAAAGTTGGAATGTTCGAGTGTGTGTTGCTGATTCAGTTGGTCAGATCATCCTCTCGGAGTTTGGTTGACAAAGAAAGCTCAGCAAGTCACGTCTTCAGTGTTTGTCAAAGTGAGAAGAATGTCACTTGTGTAGTGTTATCTTTGTTTGCTGATTATTCTGATGTTTATTCTTCAATGCCCTTTCATTTCTGTTGTTGTTTGAAGCTGATTGTTTGCAAGGTTGTTGCGGATGTAAAGAAAACAACCCAGCAAGAAGGGATTTCACCACACACATACAGGTAAAGAGACTTTTGAATGTCATCTGGACGAGTTTCCTCCCTCCTCCTCCACCTCCACCTCCACCTCCACCTCCACCTCCACCTCCTCTTCCTCCTCCTCTTCCTCTTCCTCCTCCTCTTTCTACCTTCCTCTCTCCTCCTTCCTCCTTTTCTTCCTCCTTTTGTCTTGTTCTTGTTCTTTTCTTCTGTCCATGTTACATCTGCAAATCGTTTCTGACGTCAGTTTGCAGATGCAAAGCTATTCTCGTCTTCCGGTGACTCGGCCTGTTCACAACCGTCTCTTCTCACATCTTCTCAGTTGCCTTCCCGGGTCTGTTGC